CCAGCCTCTAGAGCACAGGCTCAATAGCTGTGGCGCACGCCCTTAGTGGCTCTGCTGCTTGTGGGATCTTCCTGGATCAGGGTTTGAACCTGTGTCTCCTGCATTGGCAGGCAGATTCCCAAGCCACCAGGGAAGCCCCATAGGGAGCTGTTGTTAAATAATTTCTAATGGCTCCCCAAATGCTCTGCATCTGTGTCATTAAGTGAGAAAAAATAAGATGCCAAATTGCTTATCATCCCTGTTTCTTTTTTTTTTTTTTAAGCTCTTCTATTTACAGAGAAGGAACAGTAGAGGGCAGCGGACCAAAATGCTAATGGTGATTGTACTCAATTGGGGGCACAGGTGGATATTATGTATTTTCTGTAATTGGCAAGAATCGCCATTAGAATCAGGAAATACTTTTCAATAATTTAAACATTTTTAAATGATATAATTAAAGCCACATCACAGCTGAACTAGATGGGTGTTTCTCAGACACGAGATGTTATCCCCTTCACCCTGGGTTGCCAGTCTGGATTCCTATGGGGTGTTTTCCCAGTTCCAGGAGAGGCCTTCAACCCCGGTGAGAACAACTGCCACAGTGAGACTCAAGGCCCCAAACTGATGGCGCAGATTGTGACACATCCGTCAGGTGTGTTGGGGTGTACACAAAGTAGGTCAAGAGCCATCGTATTAGCGGTCGCCTGGTAGAGTAATAAAGAGCGGAGACCCAGGAGGCAGACAGACCCCAACAATATCCAGCTGTGCTGAATCTTGTATCTCTGGCCTTGGACAAACCATCCATCCCCTCAGAGCCCTTTTTTTTTTTGTGGGGAGGACTATGCCGAGAGGCATGTGGAATCTTAGTTCCCTGATTAGGGATCAAACCCTCGACCCCTGCATTGGAAGCACACAGAGTCTTAACTACAGGACCGCCAGGGAAGTCCTCAGAGCTCATTCTTTACATTAAAGAGAAAACCAATCTAGTTGAGAGGATTAATGGAAGTAACTTCTGGAAAACATCTGGAAGAGCATTGCCTAACATCCACATTGAATGTTAGCATCCTTTCCCTTGTTCTTCCCTAGAGAAAATCTGGAAGATAAAGTAATTATCTTCCATGGGTCCACTTAACATGCAAGCAAGTGTTATAATTTAGGAGATTTCTTACTGGTTTGTTTCTTGCTGTATTCATGGGGTACTCAGTATTTTTAAATGTTTCCCCCTTGTTAGCATGTTATCATTAAGAAGAGGCTTTGTTGTCTCAAAACCTCCCTGCTCATCATCTTTAGTTTTGGTGTAAGAGTTCTTTGAGTAAATGTAGCTTATTTACTTAACTTTCCTATTGATGGCCATTTAGGTCATTGCCAGGTTTTTTGCTCTTTTAAATTAAATGCAGTAGGTCATCTGAAGGTGTAAATATTTTGAGTACTTTTTAGATTATTATGGCTTAAGCAAGACCTTGATGTCTAGAGAGTATTACATTTAAGAAATGGTTACTGTACCACCAAAAATTAATATTAACTGATGTGGAAAGGCCTCCTAGTTAAATTGTTAAATGAAAAAAGCATGGTGTGGGACAGTGTGCCTTAGATACAGAAGAGCTGGTAGGTTACTATATGCTTTTAATACCTAGATCATTTCTGAGAAGGTGCAACAAAAACTCACTCAGAGGCATTGCTTCAGAGGAGGAGAATGGAAGGCAGGCAGGGGTAGAGGAAGCCTTACTTTTCACTATTTATCTTCTTTATCTTCTGCTGTTTGAATTCTGGGTTATGTATGTGTTTTACCAACTTTAAATAGGTTACAATTTTAAATATTTGATATAACTTCCCATTTTTAGAAAAGGTGTAAGAATAGTACAGAGAATTCATGGCTCCCCTTCTCACAGAGTCCCCAAATGTTAATATTTTAAATGCTCCCCAGTTTTTTTTTTTCCTAAAGGAATGAGTTCTATCAGAGATTAGGAAGGCAGGAACTATTTTGCCCATTTTGCACCTGAGGAAACAGAAACTCAGTGAGGTTAAACAGTTTACCCTGTATCCTTTCAGCAGGTTGGCAGGGGCAGAGTCATGCCAGCTCCTCCAGTGACTGAGCTCCTGTTTCCACAGTGATGATTTGTCCCTAGTCCGGTTTTGAAATAACAGATGGCAGTGGATTCTTCAGTTAAAATAACTTCTCTTTGAACAGACTCTGTATGATTGCAATAATGTAAGACCATGAAATTTTTGCACCTGGTCTTGTGTCCCTGTATATGTTCTGATGTCTCCTAGTTTATAGTCTGTGGGAACTTGAATAGAATTTGTATCCTACTGTTGTGTGAAGATGGTATAAATCTTAATTATATTGAATTGGTTCATAGTGCTTTTCAGGTCTGCTGTATACTTCTGCTTCTCTGTATATTCATTCTATTAATTTTTGAGAGTTTGATATTGAAACTCTTAACTAAAAATCTTAATTTAACAGCATCGAAACATGTATATTACCTATAGTGAAACAGATCACCAGCCCAGGTTGAATACATGAGACAAGTGCTTGGGCCTGGTGCACTGGGCAGACTCAGAGGAATTGGGTAGAGAGGGAGGTGGGAGGGGGATCGGGATGGGGGATACATGTAACTCCATGGCTGATTCATGTCAATGTATGACAAAACCCACTACAATATTGTAAAGTAATTAGCCTCCAACTAATAAAAATAAATGAAAAAAATAAAAATCTTAATTTATCTGCTTAAAAAATAATTGTAATATATAGTAGAACTGTATGTAACTTTGTTCTGTATTTTCCAAATCTCCTGTAAATGTGTTGTCATATGTTCATAATTTAAAAAATTAAAAAAAGTGAGACCTGGCAAAAATGAAAAAAGCTTTCTGTTCATTGCAGTCCATAATCCCACTGTGTATATTTATTGAACATTTTTATTCTGAAGGATATGACAAAAAAACCCACAATTCTATCAAAATATTAAAAAAATAAAATAACTTCTCTTTTTTGAGATTCATCTTTACCTCAGTCTCTTCTTGGATTTCTGAAAGTTCTAAGTCACTGTTGGCTTTGTCAGAACAGTAGATCAGATATGAATGGTCCTATCTGATACCTCAAAGACCTGTGACTTGGTTTCTCTCTCTCTTTTTCCCAAAGAAAATACTTACTGCGTAATAGTAATATATTCATTTTATCATTTTTTCAAAGTTTTTTTCTTTTATTGAGGTGACATTGGTTTATCACACTATGTAAATTTCACATCTGCAGCATTGTATTTCTACTTCCCTGTGCCCTTCAGCACGCTCACCACCACAAGCTTGGCTCCTGTCACCAGACTGTTGATCCCTTTTACCCATTTTGCTGCCCTTCCCTCTCTGGTAACCACCACTCTGTTCTCTGTATCTGCCTGTTTGTTTTCATTTGGCTTGTTCATTTATGTTTGTTTTTGTTGTTATTTGTTCCTCGTATTTCACACATGAGTGAAATCATATGGTATTTGTGTTTGTCTGACTTACTTCACTTAGGATAATACTCTCAAGGTCCGTCCGTCCTGTGGTCAATGGCAGGATTTCATCTTGCTTTATGTAACGTGGTTCTCTTGCTAGACCTGCACCCGGCAGGCTCCTGCTTCCTCCTCCCAGCACAGGTTGCTGGTGGCAGTTTATAAGCGCAGTTCCTGCATCACCCCCAATTCCTTCTGAGATAAAATATCTATTGGAGGAGAAAGAGGACTCACAAAGCTACATTCTGAAACTTCAGTTAAAATGGTGCTATAAAATTGTACCGCCTCTACTTCACTAGGGGGCACCCTTTCTTTATGTTTTCAGCTCACTAAATTGATTCTTATCTGTTTGATTTTACTGTGATTGTCTTAGACATAGAAATAGCTTTATTATAATTGCAGTACATTGTCAGTATACAGCAATTAGAAAATACCCATAGGCAAAAAGAAGAAAAAGTTCAAACCCCTCTTTTTCATAAATTACAGCTACTGCAAGTGATTTCATAGGTTATAGTTATTAGTAGGAGAGGGAACTGGCAACCCCACTCCAATACTCTTGCCTGGAGGATCCAATGGACGGAGGAGCCTGGTGGGCTGGGGTCCATGGGGTCTCGAAGAGTAAGACACGACTGAGCGACTTCACTTTCACTTTTCACTTTCATGCATTAGAGAAGGAAATGGCAACCCACTCCAGTGTTCTTGCCTGGAGAACCCCAGGGACGGGGGAGCCTGGTGGGCTGCCATCTGTGGGGTTGCCCAGAGTCGGACACGACTGAAGCAACTTAGCAGCAGCAGCAGTTATTAGTATCGAGTCCAACTACTAGTATTTATTCTTCCAGACTTTTTTCTAATGGACCGAGACACTTAGGGAAAAAAAATTTATTTGTTGACATAGAACATAATGTGGAGGAATACACAGATTGTAAGTGTACAACTTGATGAATTTTCACCAAATGCACAAAGTCAGATAACCACCACCCAGACCAAGAAATAAAACATTCGTAAAATCTCTTCTCATAACTCCTTCTTGTCCCTCCCTGTCACTGCCTCCCCCACAGTTAACCACTGTCCTGGCTTCTAGTGCAGAACAGTTTCACTCACTTCTTCTGAACTACATAATGAAATACAATATACACTCTTGTGTTTGGTGTGTGTATGTGTGCTCACACAACATGACGTTATAGGATTGATCTATGTTGTGTGTTGTAATCATTCATTCATTGTTGTGGTCCTGAGGATTTTGGTGAATGAATTTGTCGTGTCCCTTTATAGCAGGGATCAGCAAATTTCCTATAAAGGGCTAGATAGTAATTTTAGGCTTTGTGGATTTTTCAGTCTTAGTTGGAGCTACTACTCAGCTCTGTCTTTGCAGCTCAGAGGCTGCTGTAGATAATATGTAAATGAATGGACATGGCTGTTTTCCAGTAAATATTATTAGCAAAAGATAGATTCCAGGATGGATTTTGCAGTTGTTGTCAACTATTGTTATACTTCCCCGTCTACCCCTGCCACACCACGCAGTTTGGGATCTCTTAATTCCCCAACCAGGGATTGAACCTGGACCCCGGCAGTGGAAGTTCTGAGCCCTAACCACTGGACCACTAGGGAATTCTCTATACTTTTTTTTCTTTTAAGTAAAAATTGTATTGTACTGTATGATTAGTTTCTTTGAGATGTCATAAATAGCCATTATATATATATATATATATATAAAATAACCATTTAAATAGTTCGTCATTTCTTTGTGAAAGAGGAATTCCAGGAAGTGAAATAATAGCTGGCACTTTTCCTTCTCTGTTATAGTCTCTGGCAAACATTGATGAAGTCGTGAACAAAATCAGACTGAAAATAAGGTAAGTAACGTCATGTGATTATTTTTTTTCCCACTTTATTTATTAATGGACCTGCTGGGTCTTTGTTGCCGCCTGGGCTCTTCTTCAGTTGTGGCAAGTGGGGGCTGCTCTCTAGTTGTGGTGCGCAGGCTTCTCACTGCAGCGGCTTGTTGCGGGGCGTGAGGTCTGGGGCCTTCGGGCTTCAGTGGGTGTGGTACATGGGCTCAGTGGTCGCGGCTCCTGGGCTCTGGAGCCAGGCTCAGTAGTTGCGGCTCACAGGCTTAGTTGCTCCTCGGCATGTGGGATCTTCCCATTTCAGGGACTGAACCCATGTCTCCTGCATTGGCAGGAGAATTCTTTACCACTGAGCCACCAGGGAAGCCCAACACCATGTGATTATTAATAGTGATCACCCTTACCTGTGAGAACACTGAAATCTCAGGTTCTCTGTAAGATGGTAATTTTTAAAAGAATAGTTCTTTTATCTGGGTTTCCATATGAGCCTTGTGGCAGAGAGCTCAATTCTTTGATCGTCTTCAATTATTTATTTTTTAAAAAAAGGAATCTGTAACAGGCCATTTAGAACAGTTGATTATAAAAGGAGGCAAAAGCATTGCTGTATTTTTAATGGCTCTATTTCCCTAGCAGACCTACCCTTTTTTAATTTTCCCAAGGCTTAGAAATGAAGATGGACTTATATTTTTATCCATTTGCCACTTATCAGCTAACAGCGTGGTCAGATATGCTGATTGGTGTGAGTGGTGGCTGATTATTACACATTGTGATTAATCCAGGATGTCTAGGGTGGTCAGCAAATGTCCCTTCCTGGCCAGATAGTCTTATTCTGGTTTATCCATGTCTAAATTTCCAGTTTTGACACATGGTAGATATTCAAAGTTTGTTCTTTGTGATTATTACTGTAATGGTTGATGTCATAACTTTAAATAGTTTTTGTTGTTGCTGTTTAACTTTTGATGAGGAGAAACCTTCATTTTGAATCCAAGCGATGATTTTTTTTTCCCAGACAACCTTTGGGTTTTCAGGTAAAGACCTCTGCCATTAATATTTTGTTCAGTTGAGTACCTAAAAAAGTGCAAAGAAGCCTGTTTACTGTTTGGGCTGACTTTAACAGTTCTAGTAGAGACCACTAAGTTGTCCAGGGTTTGCACAGAAAATGAAAATTCCCCAGTGATCTAAAAATCACTTATGAGCCAGTTATTTTCAGCTTCTCCCACTGAACTTTTTTTTTTTTTTCTAATGGCTTCTTCAAATGAAGGATGAAACTGACTGATATAAATTTTTCTGGTTGAGTACCATTAAATGGCCTCTGTTCAGCTGTAGGAGAAAGAGGAAGTGGAGGCTGCAGATCTGCCTCCTGTGGTCAAGGCCCAGGCAGCGAAGCACGGATTTCATGTATCACCTTGCTCCTTATATCTTTTAAGGGTGTTACTGAGGAAGGTTTTTGTGTGGGATAACTTGAATTCTCTGGCTTGTTCCCATAAAGTTTCAGCAACTTTATCATTTCTGGTTTACTCCATGAAAAGTATTACAAGTTATATTGGTCGCTTTGACCAGCTCTGAACATTAAATAAAAATAACCTTTAAGAAAAAAGAACAAAGATGACTCATCAGTCTGTGCTGGGTTTGGCTTCTTACACTACTTTTGCTGCCCCCTCACTGGGGTCCAGGGCTTTAGTCTTCTTTGGATCATCCAAACTTCTTTGGTATTTTTCTGAATAAGTAGCTGCAGTCTGTAGAAACTGAGGAAAAGTTCCTAGTGTTTTCTTTTGGTCAACCTGGAATCGAGATTATTTTAATGATTTATGTCCTTTAACACTTTTTTGCTAGGAGACTGGATGACAACATTCGAACTGTTGTAAGAGGTCAAACAAATGTGGGACAGGATGGCAGGCAAGTAAGTAACATATTCCTCCATGTTCATTATATCCTCTGATTTCTTCAAGACCCCACAACCAACTGACCAGAATATTGATCTGCCTGCTTACAGAGCACTTTCTTACTGATCTGTCCCGTATACAGCAGGAAGCTTGCAGACTCATCCTGCTACTGGCAGAGATGGGCTGCCCAGAGCAGCCATGAGCTGTCACTCAGCATCCCTTAGAGCAGAAGCCGTGCCTGGTAGCACAGCTTACCAGGGCCAGGCCGGGAGGCGCACTGAAATGAGAGGACGGAGGTGTCCCTGTCTTCCTGCTGGGTGGCGGGTATCTCTGAGCCTGCATCCTGCTCTTTCACTTTCTGATTTAGTTCTGGTCGTGTTTTGTCTCCTGCTGTGATCTGTCCACACTGAAAGCCTCGTACTCTCCAAGCATGTCCCACGCTTTATGCTTGAGTAAGTAAGTAAGTGTGGGTAAGTGTTAGCCACTCAGTCTTGTCTGACTCTTTGCGACCCCATGGACTGTAGCCCTCCAGGCTCCTCCATCCGTGGAATTTTCCAGGCAAGGGTACTAGAGTGGGTTGCCATTCCTTTCTCCAGGGGATCTTGCCGACCCAGGGATCAAACCCTGGTCTCCTGCATCGTAGGCAGATTCTTTACCTCCTGAGCCACCAGGGCTTATGTTCTTTTCTTCTTTTTGCCTAAAAGGCACGTTCTCCTTTTTTTCTCCCAGTAGCTCCATTCTGAAATCTTTCCCAGCTCAGATACTACTTCTTTTATGAAATTTTTGTTCTGCTCAACTGATATACCAAAGGAATCAGAATATTAGAAATCCAAGTCCAGAGGGGACTTGAAACTCATCTGGTCCACTCTTCTCATTTCATAGATGAGAAAGTCGATCCCAGCAGCCATCAGTTAGAGGTAGAGTCTTTCTGCCCTCAAACTCCCACAGACCCTGGCCCCTGCTTTTCTGACTTACAGTGAACACATCTTGTCCCTTTGGCTAGTGTGTAAGCTCCTTGAAACCAGAACAGTATCTTTCTCATCTTGGTGTTTCTCAGCATGCAAAGTCCACCTGCCATAATATTTTATTCAACTGTATTAAATATTTGGTCTGTGGAAGATTATCTAGTATTTGTAAATAAACAAAAGCCCTCTACCAGAAAACATCACTGGGACCAGTGTGTGTGTCCCTTTAAAGACATTTAAAGCTTGACTGGTGCTCGACTAGTCCCGGCTATCTACCATTTAAAATAATAACACTGCTGTTTAGCGTGTTTCCGCCTATATTTAGAAAGGCTCACTAGAAATCCTGAAATACTTCAGAGATTCTCAGGTATTTACAGTTTTAAGAATGTGAAAATAAAGTGAATCATTCATCAGGAGTTTTTGCTGGGTCATGCTGAGTAGATATTGTCCCTTTTAGTTATCTATGTTTTAACCTGTGATGACAAACAGGCGGTCTTGAAGAGTCAGGCCCTGAGGTAGATGGCCTGGAGGAGAGTCAGCCCTCTCCACCTTCACTTATTAATAGGTTGCTGCAGCAAGGCAGGTCATATTTCAGAGAGCAGCACCACATTTTCAAGAATGTTTAGATAGCATTTCAATCTGTGATGGAATTTCGTGTTCGTCTCCTTAGAATCCAGACAGAAAGGAAGCCCAGGAGAAGTAATTGCTTTTCCTGTCATCCCCTCCATCTGTGTTTTCCAACAGTTTGTAATGCAAGCTGAAGGAGAGACTTTTTTTTTTTTTTCCAGAGAGCTTTGAGTCCTATCCTTGTCAACTCGTAGGGGTGAAAAAGCCTTAGTGTCCAGCCCCACTGGCCAGTGGTTTGCTGAAGAGAGGCTCCATCTGACTGGCATGGACTCAGGAGAATTACAGATGTTCCAAAACATTGGGCTTTATAGGTCAAGAGTCCTCGGTTCCCTCTTCTCTGGAACAGAGGAAAGTCTGCCCTCAGAAAACTTGTTTCCGAAGTTTCGAGGGAACACTCAGAAGGGGAGAGCAGAAATGTGGACAAAAGGAAGTTTTCCTTTCATTCATTTCCTCTTGATTGTGTGCACCCATTACAGCTATGCTTTGTCATCTGTGTAAATAGGAGGAAAGTGTTGACTTCACATTCATGGTGTCTTCAAAGATATCTTTTGCAGAAAAGGTCCTTCTGGAAATCAGTGTTTCTGACTCCAAAATTATTTGTGGAGAGGAAGCGATTTGGCAATTGAAGACACAGCAAGGCAGTTTCTTTAGTCTCCTGACATTTCTGAAACGCCTACCTCCTGGTTAGCACTCTGCTGCGCATGTGGGAGAGCCTTCCATGTCGACCACCTCCTAGGTGGGCGGACTTGAAGTGGTCTAGTCCATGACCTTTTCTAACCAGAATGTGCTCATACGAAGCTAATACAGCTCAGAATTCTCCCAATTTTTATCTGTTGAAATCATTAGGCAAAAGGTTTAATTAAATACCCACATGTTTGAAACTTTGTGGATGAGATGAGTCAACACAGTAAGCACATGAGCCAGTATGCTTTGAAAATTAACTTATACAACTTCCCAAGAATTGAAATGGACAGCTTGAACAGAGGTAGAAAGAGAGGTGACTAGAGGAGTGGGTTAGAAGAAGAAAAAGTTTGCGTGTGAAACTTCAAGACTAGCCAGACCTTGATCAGTTCCTAGTCAGCTCACTAAGAATCATCAAGAGAGGATCAGTCCCAGGACTTCCTTCAGTCTCTTGTGTGGAGCTTGTCTATAATGTAACTATTGCACCAAAGCAAGACTAAGGTTTGGGAGGGGAAGAAAATTATTGCCATCTTCAGCTCTGCTCACTCAAACTTTGATTTGGAAGAAGCATATAAGATCATTGTAGAACCACCTCCCACCCAGTT